ACGGTCAAGAAAATGCCGTTAAGAACTGGTTGCTCCAAAGCTGTTTCTATTAAAGAACAAGCAAGCCTGCGCTTGTTGAACAGCAGGAAAGGGCACTAGACAGAGATCTCAAAGAGCTGGGTTCTGTGTCTGGCTTTGGCACTATGTCTTGGGCAAATAACCTTTTCTCTCCATGCCTCAGTTTCCTCATCAGTACGTAGGAATTGTGATTCTGGCTGTCTTTTCCAAAGCATTTCACTAATCCAGGAAGGGCAACATTTTTAGGGCTAGTCACAAAGGGAAGTTCTTACAGAATAAACTCTGATAGGAATTTGGAAGGCAAAAGCTGCGCTGAACACTACTTTCCTGCATGGAAATTCCTCCATGGTGAGAGTGTGTGTGTGTGCGCGCGCACGAGAGAGAGAGAGAGAGAGAGAGAGCGCGAGCGCATGCATGTGTTTTAACCCATTTATTAAGTAGTTGGACTTAGTTCTTAGTTATTTCACCATGTAGAAAAGCCTTTGAAAGTATTTAGATGCCTTGGACACTAAAGAGCTTGGTGGCTTTGAAAATCCCTCTAGGTACCTGTCTACATCTTTAAGCAACAAAATACCTTTAACAACCTGGCCTGGAAAACCCTATTTAGGAGCTAACTATTACTATTCATTAATTGTAAGATGCAAGTAGAAAAGCAACATTTAATTTTTGCTTCACAGTTTTGTGAGCAGAATTATTTCTCTCTCCCTTTTTTTAAATATAATTTGCTGATCTTTGTGCTTTCCTGTAACATGCCATTCGTTCTCTTCACAGCTGCTTCCATATTGAGCAGCCACTGCGCCGTTATTAACAATGTTTTTAAAGAGTTGGCATGAGGCCTGAATGTCTGCTCTGGGAAATGTTTTGTTATGTTACAGTTTTTCATTTCCTGTTTTAGAACAGCTCGGATGTTTTTATTTGCATATTCTCGTCATCAGAGCACGAATTTAGCTCCAGGAAAGCTTAATCTAGTCCTCCCGCATTTATTTTTGTTGGGTGTTTTCTCCCGCACCATTACCTAAATGACCTTTTATGAAGATGTCATCCAGTTTTTATAATTCTAGTGTAATCCTCCCAGATTAGCATTAATACATCATTTTTCCCCACCTGTCTCTGGACAAGTGGATTAATGATTACTCGACAAACACAGTTAAAAGAGGAACTCTGGTTTTGCTTTTCAGCTGTGGTAACAGGCTGGAAGTACAACAGCCTAAGAAATGTTTTTACTTTGGTGTGACGTTTGCCGACATATATGTAAAGCACGATCTTTAGAATGGTAAATCCCTGCAGCAAGCCTTTGGAGTCACAACTGCTTCTGCATTGAAAAAGTGTGCCATTCTTGGGAATGGGTGTCCAATTTCATGTTGTGTTCATACCCATCACAAAAGCTATTAGAAATAATGGCCCATTGCTATCCTACATTGCGTTCATTGTAGCATGATTGCTGTTGAGAATGTTAACAGGCAGCACTTTAACCCGGTACCTGCAAGAAGCTATCTATTGACAAACTACTCAGTGGGCACATCTACATGAGACACTACTGTGCAGTCATGACTGCATGTTTATTTAGTACTTGTATTAGCAAGTACTAAATAAATGCGCAGTAACTGGAATTACTGCACAGTAGCAACAGCGAACATCTTTTAGGTGACCCTATTGCTAAGTGGCCTAATACTACCACACAGTAGCGTATTAGCACTGTGACGCACTACTGCGCAGTATTGTTCAGCTACTGCATAGCCAGCATCTTATGTAGATGCACCCAGTTCTCATGGATTATGAAGGGTTTTTCTTGATCTATCTTGATCCATTTTGATCTCTCTCTCATAAAAGCACCTTTTAATCCCTGTAAAGTTACTGAGGTTTGTGGTACAACAATATAAACTCTGGCATAGTAAGATCTGTCATTTGCATATGCTGTGATTGCTTCCCTATCACCCATTCTTTATGTGGGTGATAGGGAAGAGGGCCAACGTGGTTCCCATCTTCAAAAAGGGGAGGAAGGAGGACCCGGGAAACTATAGGCCAGTCAGTCTTACCTCGATCCTGGTCAAGCTGTTTGAGAAAATTATTCTGGCACACATCCAGGAGGGGCCAGCAGGGAAATGCATGCTCAGGGGCAACCAGCACGGGTTCATCAACGGCAGGTCATGTCAGACTAACCTGGTGGCCTTCTACGATCAGGTCACTAAATCATTGGATTCAGGGGTAGCAGTGGATATAGTCTTCCTGGACTTCTGGAAGGCTTTCGACACTGTCTCTCACCCCGTTCTCATTAGGAAACTGGGGGACTGTGGCGTAGACACCCACACAGTCCAGTGGGTCGCCAACTGGCTAGAGAGCCGTACCCAGAGGGTGGTAGTGGATGGGTCCTTCTCGGCCTGGAAGGACGTTGGCAGTGGGGTCCCGCAGGGCTCGGTCCTCGGGCCCGCCCTGTTCAACATCTTCATCGGTGATTTGGATGAGGGGGTGCAAAGCACCCTGTTCAAATTTGCTGATGACACCAAGATGTGGGGGGATGTGAGCACAATAGAAGGGAGCAACAGGCTACAGTCAGACCTTGACAGGTTACAAGGATGGGCAGAGGAGAACAGGATGGGGTTCAACACAGACAAGTGCAATGTGATGCACCTGGGGAGGAACAACCGGCACCATACCTACAGGCTGGGGAACTCCCCTCTTGTCAGCACGGAGGTGGAAAAGGATCTTGGAGTCATTATTGACTCCAAGAT